GACATTTATCAACGAAATAAAAGTTAAAGGCGCATACTCGTTTAGATTTATTTGAAGTAGAACCCAAGTTTCCGAACATACATGTTCTGCTCAAGCACTTTTACTATATACATGTAGTAAATATATGCTTAAAGCAGCACGCTAATTTTCATGAAAATTTGAAAATGTATTAAGCAGTATAATATTGTTAAGTTACCAAAATAATGCAATTTACACATTATCAATGGCACTTAATAACCCAATGTCCTGTACATTGCTATAAAGAGGTAAAAAAATATGCAAAAATTGACCTTACCGCATTAGCAACGCAGTAGAAATATAGTTATAAATACTGCAAAATTAGTAATTAATCGCTAATAACATGTAAATTATTACTAGAATTTTGAATCTTTATACCTTTCCAAAAATCTTAGAACATTTTTCTCAGGTTTGATTTTATCGAAATATATTTGCTCATCTGGAGGCGTGCAGCTTTAATATACAAAGTGTTCTAAACATAAAGAATATTTCGCTCAATGATTACAAGATAATTCAATGATGTGACTGACTTTGTAATATATCTCGGTCAGGTTTAGAGTCCGTTTAAATCACTAAATGAACTAACAAAAAATTTAATTGTTGCTTATTTTCGAGACATATTTTTAATTGATATAAGCTTATTATTTATACACGGTAATTAACAAGTTGTACATAAAGTGTAGACATGTCAATTATTAATTTCATTTATTCCCCCAAAGTTTTGATAATCAGTTTTATGTAGCTCAATGTTGTCAAACATTCTTAAAGGGACTCCACTGAGGTTTTTTGACATGACGGGACTGGAAAGTTTTGTTTTTTTTAGATTATTACTCCATTTGATGAAGATCTATTAATAACTTATTTCAGATCATTAGCTCGCTCTGTTTTTCCAAAATAATTATTATAATAGCGAAAAATGACCCAAAATTAATTTAAACGCTTTTCACTCAAATCTTACTGAGAATAGCACAAACTATTTTCAATGTATTTCTTGTTTATTTCTTAGTTATATTTTATTTATATTTCTGTTTAAAGTGCTCATGTTTATCTATGTGAAAAAATAAAATGTTATGTGTTAGGCTTATAAACCTCAATGGAGTTCCTTTAACAGATAAAAGTTGTATATCATCACTTTAGAACTAAGATTATCATACATCCAAACTGCTGAAAGTTTTCACAAGATTTGAATGGAAGTAACTATAATAGGCCTATAACTTTAGAAAAGAAGTCATGTATTCTCATTTAATAAATTTGATGCATTAAAAGTAATTATACAATTTTTTTTATTATTAGCATATTTAAAATTTAAATATGGCCTAGTGACTCGAGTTATATCAGCTGACAACCACTTTGGAAAGGTATTGTCTTAATTTTTAAAATTTTTGATCATATAAACTTCGACAAGCAAAGTCAATTAAAGGCCTAGGTCATATCAGAATAACTGAAAACTGTTGGTTTTGTCTTGTGTGTTCTTTTGTCCAAGTATGAATAACATCTGTGAATAATTTATGTTACACAAGTTATCACAAATCAAACTTTTAGGAAATGCATAAATAAATTGTTAATAACAACAAAAGACAAACGCATTGCAATGACAAAAGCTTACCTCTCAAAACTATGTGCTCAAGTCAGCAAAAATAATCAAGCCTTGACATCGTTGTTAGCATTTATTTTTCTTTATTTTCTTAACAATTTAAAAGAAAACTAGAAATGTGTCCATAGGACAAGAGTGCCCCCACACTCCACTGATTTGTCAATCTTATGTCTCTAGGTCAATTTTTTTTCCCTACATGTGCCCAAGTTGAAAACTAAAAATCTTTTATTAAGTTAAGGGCAAATTCTACAAATACTGAATAAATCTGCTAGAAAACCCTTAAGTGCATAAGTACATGCAGACCAACATGTTGTAAACTAACTTTCAGGCCTACAGGTCAAATACTTCTTGAGTTACATGCAACACAAGTTGAATATTGTAAATTTTTACTAAGTCAAGGGCAATAACTCTAAAAATACTAAAAATATCCACACGAAAATACACAGGTGCACAAATACACATGCTTAGCAACATTCTTGTAAGGTTTCATGACTCTAGGTCAATTACTGTTTGAGCTACGTGCGACACAAAAAGAGAATGGACGGACGGATGGACAGATGGACAAGGGTAAATCTAAATGCCCCCCCCCCACCCTATAATTGGGGCAAAAAAATCTTTCAGTTTGCTTGTTTGTACATTTAGCACAAGTCTAACTGCTACATATAATAAATTATAATTTAGTTTCCTCTACTATTACAACTACAAGTATACAAGTATATGTATAAAACAATCATTCACAAGTACACTTCCCCCAGTACACACTATGTTCACATTTTAAGTTTTTATATAAAAAACTAAATGTTTAACCGTTGCATGAATTTATTCAAGAAAATACATAGTATAAAAATAAAAAAAAATAATTTTTAGGTCAGATACTTCTTTAAAAATACCATATGAAATTAATACAAATTATTTTAATATTAAAATAATTTCATTTATTTTATTTAGAAAACATCGTCTGCTGTAAATATTAGTCGTCTGCTATACTGCCCCGTCAGCTTTATAAATCGTCTGCTATATTTTGTTGATACACAATTTACCTGGTTACGCTCGATAGTTTTTTCTTACTCGAGCATAACGTGTACCCGGTATGGTATATATAAGGCAAAACCCGTGCAGAAACTCACTCTTTACACGTCTGCAGTACAGATTGACTGGTTTAAAACATTTATCTGCTATCTACATTGTCAAATTATGCCACGTGGCCGCGGATTCGTACGTCCACAAAGACTGTCGCGGAACAACACCGCCAGGCAGCCCGAGCCAGCAAGGAGCGCAACAAGGAGCCAACAACCTTCCAACAGAGGGAGGAAACGAACGGCAGAGGTCCCGTTGGAAGATTTTGTTGACGAGAGGGTGTCGCAAACGAACGCTGGTGAGTCGAACGTAGTAGATTTTGAGCAGATAATAAGGGCTTCGAATATTATTCCACAAAATTTGACCGATAATGTTGGTTCTGTTGCAAATAATGTTTCTACGGGGTGTGGCAATATGTTACAATCTGTGGGTTTAGATAGTTCTACTGCGAATCATTCCAACGATATTTTAAATGTTTTGCCTGGAATACGTTTAGCCGATGATGATTTGGCGGCGCACGTGCCAACATCTCTTAAACAAAAAATTTGTAGAGGTGAATATGTAAATTTGATGTTATTATTGAAAGGGGCAGTCGAGCTTTCAGAATTTTGTAAAGGGACGGTGTTTAAGTTAGATAGTGAAGGTCACATTCAAAAATGGAATGGACAACTAGCTAATTCATCTAAGGGTACAAACTATAGAATATTTAAAAATGATATAATATTTGAACCATATTTAAACATACTGCCTGACAATTTGCGTTGTTCACTTTTCCATTTTAGAACTGGTAATCACAGGCTTCCCGTTGAAACGGGAAGGTGGCGTAACTCATTTCTCCCTTATGAAGATAGGAAGTGTAATTTATGCAGTTTGAATGAAATAGGCGACGAGTTTCACTATTTATTTACATGTCCATTTTTTATTTTGAATAGAAAACGTTATTTTTAAGTTACTTCTACAGACAACCAAATATATTAAAATTTAGGGAATTATTCACAAGTGGTCGCTTGCAAACCCTTAAAAAATTATCGTTATTTGTTCGTGATATTATAAGGCACTTTAAAGTATAAACATGTTAGGAACATTTTACTTACCACAGTATTGTTATCCTCTAGAATTGCATCGTATTTTTAACATTAACCATTAATAACACACATTCCACTGCCTGTACTGACCGATACATATTTAGCGAATTTCTAATGACCTTGTCCCACATTCCAAACAATTGAAATCGTGCAATATACTACATTTGTAGTTTTCCAGATCTCGCGAGATTTCAATACTCATTCATAATATTTTACTATGACACGGGAAACTCGTGCAGACGGTCGTAGGCAGACAGTAATTGTTCGAGCGCTATCTATGTTTATTTTAACGCTTTTTTTTTTTTTATTTTTTTTTTTCTCTTTCTGTCTGTTATACTAAATACCGGTCACCATTTTTTTTTTGTGTGTTTTTTGTCTGTTTTTTCGTGTGTTTTTTTACAAAGAATTTTCTACTTATTTAAAAGAGTAGGTTATATCATGTACCTTATTTACATATGATTAAGGAAAAAGTATTATATAATGACCTGTGTTGATATATGCAACAATAAGTTATGTATTCTAGTGGTGAGAGAATAGCTGTCCCCATGTTGTTTAACAATTTTAAACGCTTGATTTTGATACTTTCAATTAAAAAAATAAGAACCCACATTTATACCATTGTATTTAGTCATACTGTTCTATGTAACGTGACTCAAAAATAAAAGTATTTGTTGTTGTTGTTGTTGTTGTAGAATCCGCTCAAAAAGAATGTAAAGAGCAGATCAATTGCATTGAGAAATGGACAAACGCATTTATTATATATGCGTCCATTTATTTATCATCACACGCTGACAAAATCTATGAAATTTTGCATTACATGTTTAATATCAGAGATTGTGCCTCGCGCCAGGGTGGTCTTTCATGGAGGACTTACGACGAGCAATTTCGTCTAAGACAGGCCATTGCTCCTCAATCATGGTCGAAAATAAACAATGAGTTATGGTGGCGCTGTGTACAAGTCAGACCAGTTTTACGTGACCAATCGAATCCTTATAGGTTTACGTGTAATGACTTTAATGCGGGAAAATGTTCTTGGCCGAATTGCCGTTTTTCCCATGTTTGTGCCACGTGTTTTGCTCCCCACCCAGCAATCAACTGTCAAACTTCAAATTCTTCAAACAAACAAAGCTTGACGAGCGGTCAATCTCAGTCGTCATTTCAAAACTCTCGGAGCAGACATTTTCAGCCACAACGGGCTAAAAGTGGACGGGGCTATTACAAAAAGTAAAAGTCCGGTCATTTCATTTTCTGACACTAATGTTAACTTATTCGCTTTGGCAAAATCTCCTGTAAACGTTGAGGCTTTAAAGTTCTATTTAAAAGGATATAATGAGAAAGAAGCAAAATTCTTATTAGACGGTTTTATCAATGGCTTTCCAATTCAATACACAGGGCCACGTGTTGCACGTGAGTCAAAAAAATTACGGTCATCTCTATTAAGGCCTGATTTAATTAAAGAGCAAATAGAAAAAGAGAGAAATGCAGGAAGAGTTGCTGGCCCTTTCGACGAACGCCCTCTTCCAAATTTAATTGTGTCGCCGATCGGTTTAGTACCAAAGAAAACACCGGGGGAATTCAGGATGATCCATCATTTATCATATCCCTCCGGTAAATCTGTTAATGACTTCATTGATCCAAGTTTATGTTCAGTACAATACACAAGTTTTGATGAAGCAGTTAAAATGATTCAAGAATTAGGTCAACATTGCAAATTGTTTAAATCGGATATCAAGAGCGCGTACCGCTTAATACCAATTTCCCCAAATGATTTTGAGCTACTTGGTTTTTGTTTTGATAATAAATATTATTTTGACAAGGCGCTCCCTTTCGGTGCTTCAGTGAGCTGTATTACTTTTGAACGATTTTCAAGATTTTTAGAATATAGTGTTAAATCGAAATTTACGTCAGCTAAATTGATACATTATTTAGATGATTTTCTTGGGGGTGACAGGACGTCAGAATCATGCAATCAGGCATTAAATATCTTTCAAAACACAATGACAGAGCTTGGTGTGCCTTTAGCATCGGAAAAAACTCAAGGCCCGACTGAGGTCTTAGTCTTTTTAGGTTTAGAGCTTGACACAAACCAAATGACAATCAGAATTCCGTCAGAAAAAATAGAGGAGATCAAAGAAAAATTTTTTGAGGTGTTATCACACTCGAAATCAACTCTTTAAAAATTACAATCTTTAATTGGTTCACTCCATTTTTGTTGTAGAGCTATTGTTATTGGTCGCCCTTTCATTACACGTTTAATTAATTCAATTTGTGGGCTGACAAAGTCGTATCACCGCGTACGATTAAAGAAAGAGGTTCGACGGGACTTGAACATATGGCTTATATTTTTAAAGAAATATAATGGCGTGTCTGTGTTTCACGACAAATTTTGGGTTTCAAACGAAGATGTAGAAATTATTTTCGGACAGCGCGGGTGGTGTCAATTGTGGTTTACGAATTTACTTTCAAGGTCATTGGTGCCAAGGGAAATGGCCAGACGATTGGCACTCACGCGGTCTTACGGCCGATATCACTGTTTAATTGCAAATGCCGGAAGTAGTCCACTTTTTTGAAGCGGTTACTTCCCTTTTGTATGTACACTAAAGCCGAAAAATTCAGGGGAGATCACTGCGTAAAGATGGTCAAAGACAGGCGCATCAATTTTCAAGCAAAGTAATTCCCGAATGGTCGAAGATTTCTAATATTGTTTTCTGGTATTTTCTGATCGAAAATAACTAAATACAAAGCGGACATTCAATCTCTGACAGAAGTTTATGACAAACCTAACAACAAGTAGTTCTCAAAACAGCTTAAAACTAGCGATTTAAAAGAAAGAAATATTTTATTTTGTTACAAGTATCCAACAAATTACAACGCATTTAAAGTTAAACAATAGCGTTGGCTTATAGAATTGTCAATAAATGCACAATCACAAATTACGCGGATGAATATGATTTTATCAATGAAAATACTATTTTTAGCCATGTAGATTACCGAATACTACACAAACCGAGTAGTGGAATATATAGATTCTACATGTCGGACTGTTTGGGCGAGAGGATTTTCGCTAAAATATTTACTTCAATTTTAAACAACAGGTTTACCCTGAACAAAATACTTCGAAATTAATAAGGATTACAAACCTGAATGCAATGGAAGTTCTAAATTTAGAATCACTTGATATTATTCAGACAAATTGTGTATAACTTCTCCGTGGTACAGTGGTAACGCGCTCGCTTAGTGAGTGAGAGGTCTCGAGTTCGAATCCCAATCGAGGAAATTTTTTTTTGGTTAAATTCTTTTTTTAATTGTTTTTGTTAAGGAAGTAGCCATGATTTACAAGAATAAAGTGTGGCTGTCGTAAAAAAAGTACATAAATGATTTTTTGATGCAACTCTAGTTATGCAGAATTCAGTATGTGCCTTACAAAATGAATTATAATACATAAAAATAAACTTATACAGGAAAATGCATACAGATATACAGTACGATTTAGATTGCAAAGATCAGAAAATACCAAAGAACATGAAGCCCTTTGATTCTTTATCAATATACATGCTTATAGTAAGCTTCAGGATTATTTACATCTGTGTTAAACAACAGTTAAAAGTCGTTACAAGCCCTAATTTAGAATAATATGGTTTTCTTCAGGCCGTTCACATATAAATTTAACCGTGGCTGAAGGGTTTTCGGGCTCGCTTAGGAAGCGAGAGGTCTGGAGTTCAAATCCCAGTAAAGGTAACTTATTTTTTTAAATTGTTAAAGTCAAATAAACATTGGATTGAATATCAGTGTTGCAATTAGTCTTATAGCCAATTTACTACAATTAAAACGCTGGAAAGCATTGGTGGCACTAAACATATAATCTCACAACCTGCACCTTTCTTACATTCTGAGACCCAAACAAATTCAGCGCCTTCTGTGCTTTGATTTCTTACTGGAGCATAACGTGTACCCGGTATGGTATATATAAGGCAAAACCCGTGCAGAAACTCACTCTTTACACGTCTGCAGTACAGATTGACTGGTTTAAAACATTTACCCGCCCGCCACACCCCATTTGCTTAATTATAAATAACTGTCATTTTATGAGTTATCATATCGATCATAAAGGTGACGTCACAGGTTAAACATATTTTGGTAAACTGTATATAAGCGTGTGTTTGTCATTGTTTATTTGGATGTAGATACTGCTGTGACTTTTTATACTTTGCAGGTTGTTGTTATAGACATGTTTTTGTGTGGACTTCCAAGGAAAATAATTATGGGGGAATATGCCACTACAGACTTATTAAAAGAATTATTAGTAATTCGATATTGTGTTTGTGTTTCATTTTCGAATATTTAAATAAACAAAATGTACAAGTCTGACTGATCTATGAAATACATTATGATAAGAACATACTAGTATTAAAGGTACATATGACATTACTTTTGTTGTAGAAGTAAAAGCCTTTCTTGCTTGTAATAGAGATGTGTAGATCATCATGTGATAGTAATGCAGACATGGACATGCATCAGTTATCAAAGAACAGTAAAATGTTTCTTTTTTTTTCAAAAAATTGGAGGAATAAAATTTTTTTTCTTTTTTAAATAAAAGACATCATAAGCTATTGTCATTTGCTTTAAGCGTATAAAAATATAAAACAAAGAGGTCACTCTAGACATGCAGAACTCAATGTGAAGTCTAACATTAATATGAGTTGATGATGTATAGGTATATATTGACAAAAGGTCACCTGTGAGGTTCTCGCAGTCACTTCACATTTTTTCTTTCAATACTTTGACTACACATACATACACATACAAAATAAATAAAAAAGTTATTATATATATGCTGGCATAACTACAAAAAAGAGCATTTCACTAACATATAACATATATTTTATTAGTCTTAAGCACATTAACAGCTCATCGACATTTACATATAATATGACACGTATTTGTAGCATGCGTAATAATTATAATCATATTTACAGAAATAGAAAAACACATACATTATACACAAAACACAACGGCTACTGTACACACAATAATAAACAGCGAGAATTGATATATTTTTTACAAAAACAGAAAACTTGGTAAATACATCATCTATTATGACACTATTATGTTGAAAAGTACACATTCACTGTTCGAACACTAATTGATCTCTCTAAAAATGATTGTCTGATTCTAAAAGCCTTAAGAATATATAATGCTAGCTTGATAAGTACATTTTTATTGGTCGAATTTAAAAGTTCAATGAACTTGTAAACACTTTGCATGATTACAATAATAGTCACTTATATACTTCTTTCTGATGTCTCTAATATAATTTACATGTTAAAACGAAGTTGAATTCGTCTTCACTGTCATTCATGTCACATAGCATACACTTTCGCTGATCTCTTGGCACTGCATTTCCAAAGTGTCTTGCCTTTTCTATCATTAAATCATGCGATCCCATACGTATCTTTGCAATTGCTCGTCTGTATTTCAAGTTATTCAATACTATGAGATATGAGGGAATTTCAAAAGTTTGTTTGATTTCCTTGTATAAATATAACGAAGGACACATGTTAATATCTATATACCATTCTGCTATGTAAAAGTCTCTTAGTCTCTGTTTCAGAACAGTCGTAAATCTTTCAATACAAACAGATGCTGGGAAAACCCATATTTCACCAAAACCAATTGCATTTAATAAATCTCTCACTTTTAATAACCAATTGTCAATAGCATTTTTCAGTCAAATTTAACAATCTATCAAGCAAAGCACTAACAAACCTAAGAGTTTAATTGACTAAACAAACAAAACAACTGCTTCCAAAAACAAGTAAGTAATACAGTAAAATCAGAAAACAAGAGGGCCATGATGGTCCTGAAATCGCTCACCTGTATATATAGGTCTCCGGGACAGGGCCAATTTTAACCAAGGGGCTTTTATTTGATCAAACTTGGTAGACAACCATTAGACGATGTGTCATGATAAATATCTAAGCTATAGATCTTTGGGGGGTTTTTAAAGAAGATTTTTTAAGTTTTACTATACACATATAGGAAAAAACAATGACCCCCTAGCAGGCCAATTTTGACCCCAGGGCTTTTATTTGAACAAACTTAGTAGCATTCCTTAGAAGATATTTCATGCTTACTATCTTAACTTTAGCTCCTTGGGTTTTTTTTAAAGAAGATTTTTAAAGTTTTTACTATACAAATATATGGAAAATTAATGACCCCCGGCGGGGC